CATTTAGAACTGTTTCCCAATCTTTTAGCGCACAATTTTGCTTAAACTCTGCTCAGATTTTTTTAATTTGCAAAATGCAGGTGGGGTGAAGCTTACATGGGGATTTGAAGATGAGATTATAAATGCAATGGGATATGTTTTGACAAAGAATTACTCCTACTTTCTTTCTTTCTTTCTGGCCACACACTCCAACAGAATCTGGGCAGCTTACAGAATCTATTTGTAACTGTACAAATGCATTTGTAGCTGAAATCCAACTGGAAAATAGGTTGATGAGACAAGTGTGGAAGACTTTTCCAGGGGCTGAGTGTTTGCTTCTAAGACAAGGAGTGCTTGTATCCTAGAATTATATAATTCAACTCTAGGAGTTGATAGGGGCCATTTCTGCTAATGAAGCATTTTAAGAATCCAAACTGCAGATGCAATACATTCCTGAGCTCTTGAAATTGTGGTACTAAACATATCACTTACACCCACCTTAAGATCTTGTTTTGAGTATTCCTTCTTGTCAAGGTCTTTTGAATGGCTAGTGGGGAATATATTTCGATACTGGCACTTCAGATCAAGGGCATAGCTCAGTTTCTTCCTTGATGTAATTTACTCCCTTGAGCCTATCTTGCTATCTTTAATACTGCTTTTCTGTTTTATGGGGGAGGACATAATTTAGAATTTAGGATTGTGTGTGTGAGTGAATGTGTGTGTATTTAAGGCTTCCTGGGAGCAAATATTTAAAATTACTAAATAAAAATGCAATTATCATAACATCACATTGGTACAGAGGAATACTTTCCCCATTAGCCATAGTTAGAAGGACCCACTTAAAGCTGCCAAATCAAAAACTAGACAGACAGTTGCTAAAATACTGATATCTTGGAATGCTAGTACATTAATTATAAATGTATTAAATACAGTACATGTTACAGGGTTTTAAAAAGTATAATACAACTTCTTATATTCTCTGGACACAGTATTGGGAATTGGCTTTCCCGGTGAATCTCTAGCATTTGAAATATCACAAGGGAGGCCAGGAAGAACAGTTTGGAATCCCTCTTGAGATTTGTAGAAAAGAAGATAGATTATATAAGCTTCCTGACTAGGCGCTATCAGCCCACTAGTGAAGTGATGAGTCTTCTTTGCTGGAGATCTCCAAACAGAATCTAGATGGTCATCTGTCAAAGATGCTGTGGTGGATCCTGCACAGAGTAGAGGGTTGGGCCAGATGACCACAAGGTCACTGCCAACTTTGTGAGTCTATGAGGAAACAGGCTCTGATCTGGCTAGAGTGGGCTGTGGTGGTATCAGTGCAAAATGAATTACTCTCCTACCAATGCTGCAGGAGACTCTGAAATGAGAGGCAATTGGGCAATGGAACATGTACTTGTTGATAGCAGGTTATCTGCTAGGAAACTGCAAAATATACTGATAAAACTTTCACGTGATGGAGGAGAAGGGAATTATGTGTGTAGCTCTGTGTTTTGGTTTGCAGAGCAAAGGGCTATCTTAAAGAACCAATTCAAATACAGGTAGTCCTCACTTAACAATCATTCGTTTAGTGACCAAAGTTACAATTGTGCTGAACAAAGGGGCTTCAACCGGTCCTCGCACTTACAACCATTGCAGCACCCCCACGGTCACGTGATCGTGATCTGGGTGCTTGGCAACCAGCTTGCAATTATGACAGTTTCAATGTCCCAGGGTCATGTGATTACCATTTGCAACTTTCCCAGCTGGCTTCTGGCAAGCAAAATCAATGGGGAACCATGTGATTCATTTAACAACCATGTGATTCGCTTAACAGCCATGGTGATTCACTTAATGACTGCTGCAAAAAAAGTCATAAAATTGGGCGTGACTCACTTAACAACTGCCCTGCTTAATAACAAATTTTCTGGTCCCTATTGTGGTCTTTAAGCAAGGACTATATGTAGCTCTGCTCTGAAATAGGTTTTCAAAAATCATGCAAACAGGGCATTTTACTTCAGTTTATTTAAATCAATTGTTTGCCTAAACTATAAATGTTCATCAAGCATAGTTTGGACTGCAAATGTAGGTAGCAGTTATAACTATTTCCATTAACATTTATTTCCAAGGAAACATGCACAGTTTTGTCCTGAAAGATTTATTTTATTCTATATTTAAAATGCCAGCATTCTTACCACTGATTCACCCAAGCCTTATTTACACTGATGCGAATCTAAGGGACTCATTAACTCTGGTGGGACATCAAGGGGCAATCAATTTGTGGACTACACCCTTTCTCAAAAGCCTGGTCAAACTACAAAAGGCATATTGAAAAATAGCATGGTACTTGCTTATTAAAAGAAAACTCAAATAACTATTACCTTAAAGAATGGAAACCATCGATGGACTATTTGCAAAATGCAGGTGGGGTGAAGCTTACATAGGGATTTGAAGATTAGATTATAAATGTAATGGGATATGTTTTGACAAAGAATTACTCCTACTTAATAAATAAGGCTTGGGTGAATTAAGTAGGAGTAATTCTTTGTCAAAACATATCCCATTACATTTATAATCTAATCTTCAAATCCTAAATAAGGCTTGGGTGAATCAGTGGTAAGAATGCTGGCATTTTAAATATAGAATAAAATAAATCTTTCAGGACAAAACTGTGTAAGTAGGAGTAATTCTTTGTCAAAACATATCCCATTACATTTATAATCTAATCTTCAAATCCGTATTTTCAATTTTCTTTTTCATTTCTAACTTTTAACTTTGTAACTTTAAAATTTCAATAAAATATTATTAAAAAAAGAAAGAAAGAAAAATAGCATGGTAAGCAATCATGGCATTTATTTAAACTTTGAAGTTGGGCAGCGTGGTGAGGATGCCACCACATCAGCAAATACTGCTTCTTGTTATTACAATCTCTCCCTGATAGCAACAAAATCTGGAGCAAGCTGACCTTGGGTAACCTCAATCAAGTTCATTTGCAAGAAAAAAAGTCAAAGGCAACAAGGATCATTCCTATAGTACAGCTGTAAAGGTTGCCAGTACATTGAGATTTCCTTGAAAATGGATAGAAAGCTGAGTCATGATTTCAGTATAAGCATTAAGTTGCTTTCTTTGGCATATTTCTCTCCATAAGTTAGCTGCCAACAAATTCCAATTCTATGGAAAGGGGAGCTTAATAAAGCAGCAGGTAGTTCCTGAATCACAGAAGCAGACTGTAAAATGAATCTAGGTTTTATATATCTAAACAATATTCATTCTACAGTCACTTGGGCCCTTAGAGTTTCTGAAATATTATCCTACAGCAGTGTTTCTCAACCTTGGCAACTTTCAGATTTGTGGACTTCAACTCCCAGAATTCTTGGCATCTTAAAGTTGCCAAGGTTGAGAAAACTGTCTTACAGTGTTATCCTACTTTGCAGTGCAAGTATCAAAGTTGGTCCTGACTACCGTAGATAATGGTAGTACTCACATCTGGCCATCTGCTAAGCAGTTATTACTTGATAGAGTTTTCGCAATGGTCATGGTAAATCTCCAGACAAAAATGAAAAAAAGGGCAATTTCGTTTCATGTGTGTTCATGAAGGCCAGAAGCTCTCTTCTGTCACTCCTGTGGAAAATTCTGGTTTCTTCCTGGACTCTGTGCCTTTAGCTGAGACAGAGTTATCTTCTGAACCCCAGAGATAGCAAATATTTCAACAAGTAGGGCAAATATATGGGAAAGAAAGCATGGGGAACTGGTGGGGAAGGTATCAAAATACCATTTAATTATTTTATTTGTGTCCCTTTGAGTCAGTCTTGATTCCTGGCGACTGCCTGGACTAATCCCTGCAGTTTTCCTGGCAAGATTTTTGGAAGTGGTTTGCCCTTCCCTCCTTCCTAGGACTGAGACAGAGTGACTGGCCCAAGGTCACCCAGCTGGCTTTGTGCCTAAGATGGGACTAGAACTCACGGTCCCCTGGTTTCTAGCTCACTGCCTTTAACCACTACACCAAACTGGCTCTCTTTTAATAAAATAGGTGGTCTACTTTCAGATTCTTTAAAAATATTATATTATTTTAATTTTTTTAGTGGGCAAGAATAATAATTCATGAGATTATACCACTCCAAAATCTGTAGCTGAGTAACCAACAGAATGCAGACGTGTAATTGCAAGCATTCAATGCCATCAGGACAGATGTTAAAAAAAAACAAAGAAAAGAGAATGGAGGGAGGAAGGAAGGAAGGAAGGAAGGAAGGAAGGAAG